CATGTACTATGTATTTAATTACCTAGACTTTATATATATATATACCTTTTTGTATATTTGACTATTAGTATATCATAACGTGGGCTATAAGATGTACTGATTCCAGCACTGCCTACACAACATCCCCCAATTTGCATGTAATTAACATGGTACAAACTAATTTGCATATCATTTTCCTGAATGTTCTACGTAATTTCAGGTCACTATAAACCCAGTACATTATACATCAGGTCATTATACACCCCAATACAATGTACATCAGCTTCCTAAATGTTCTATATAATTAGCCTACAAAATGTAAAAATATTTACTTGAAAAAAAAAATAATTTGTTACCATCACTTTACTGTCACTGAAATGTGTAAAACCTTTGTCAACTCTTGTCACTCTTTCATCTCTGGTTTTGCCCCCCCCCCCCCCCCCCCAAAAAAAAGATCCTGTGTGCATCACTAAAAAATTAGTCAATCAAAAATTGATCAGGCTTTCCTTGACTGCTTCTATTGTTTGCATCTCTACCCTTACTACTCTCACATATTAGTACAATTTTATTTATGGCATGGTTTATTGAATGCTTACATTTTGAATATGCAAGTTATTATTATTTATCTCACTTTTTTAGCTCCGCTGTGGACAAAGTCACACAGCGGAGCTGTTCATAATACTGATTGTCCGTCGTCGGCGTCAACTTCACAATTTCAACTTCTTCTTGAAACCTGCAAGTCAGAATGTTTTGAAATTTGATATGCAAGTACTTTGGATGGTTCTTTCTTAGATTTGTTCATTTCATGTCAAAATCTCAAATTCTCTATTTTTGGTGAATATTTTTTTATGTTCGGTAAAAAGTGATATTTTCAACTTCTTGTTAAAAACTGCAAGTCAGATTACTTTGATATTACATATATAGGTACTACATGTGGTTCTAACTCAGATTTGTTCATTTCATGATGGTATCTTCAATTCTCTAATTTTGATGAATATTTTTGTCATTTTTGGTAAAAAGTGATATTTTCAACTTCTTGTTAAAAACTGCAAGTCAGATTGCTTTGATATTACATATATAGGTACTACATGTGGATCTCTCTCAGATTTGTTCATTTTGTAATGATATCTTTAATTCTCTAATTTTGGTGAATATTTTTGTCATTTTTGGTAAAAAGTGATATTTTCCAATATTGTTGAAAACCGCAAGTCTGATTGCTTTGATACTATACATATTGTTCATTTTTTAATGATACATGTATCTTCTGTTCTTTAATTGTAATGTGCATTGCTATTTGTTTGTTTTTTCTCATCTTTTTTTTCTTTCACAGATACAGTATAAGTATATTCTTGTCTTACATTTTTTTCCCCAGCTCAACCAGGCCAAGCATTGCATTTCCAGAAACAAAATCTGTCATTAATTTGAGCAGGATTTATGGATACTGTCACATTTCCGATTGATGTGCATTGAGGCCACACTAATTCCCTATTTTTAGTGCAAAAACTCATTTTTAGAATTGAGATTTTTTTTTTTGACAATAGTCTGTCAAAATTCTCTGGTGTAATTCTATAAGATTAACAGATTTCTTTTCAGTTTTTTTTAAATGTTTCACAAGATATCTTTATGACACTGTTAAAAACAGAGTTATATAGCTTTCTTCGTCATAGCAACTGCACATTCTCATTCCAGGCTTTATAATTCCTCATCCATGACAGGTTTGCGTTCTTTATCCCCATCTGTGGATCCTGCAATTATTACTTACATCAATAGATGCATGGCCAGTTATTGATGTTTTTCTTTCCTTCTTTTTTTTTTTGTAACAATTTCTTGAATCTCAGTGTTATATGAAAAAGGTATGACTGCATCATTTTGTTTCCTAGGAAACTGCTTATTTGCATCTCGCATGTAAATGGTATATGGTAAGGTGGTGTTCATGGTAACCAATGTTACGTCTAAGCTTCATCTTGTCTTTTTCTGTTTCTCTGTTCATCAATGAACAGTCCTCTTTATCTTACCCGGTACATTGCATCTTGTGGGAGCAATAATCCAAATTTGTTTGGGATTTACTTGTAGCATACATTGGAGCATTTTGCGGTATGGATGTGTATGGGAGTAATCGTGATTGAAAAACGTAGCCATCTAGGGTGGAAATAAACATGGGGTGCATATTATACACAAAAATCTTGTGGATGACAATTTTTTGGGTGGTGGAGTGAATGTTGTTTTTGGTCATGCATGTCGATAGAATAATGTTTTAGATTTTTTTGTGCCAGAATGTTGGTGCTACATTTTGCAAACTATGTATTTTACTAGTAATAATTTGTTCCATTACTGGTCCTGATCCTGATTTTTGAAAAATATGGGGAAAAAATTATGCAAGCTTTATCGCCTTAGTCATAGCATACATGTAATGTGGTTGTTATGTGCCGTGTAGGATGACTGTATATATATTAGATGAAATATTTTTCAGGAAAAGAATTATTGCATGTAATAAAACATAATAAACCGCTATTTCATCCATTGTACTAATGTTACCCTCAATGTGGTTCTTGGGTGGGGTGTTGATGCGCACATGTATGAGGCTTAGTTAAGCATTAATTTGAAAAAACCCAATAAAACCCATTGAAACCTGGTGAATATCTTTGCAACAGCTGAAATGGCATTATGCTAAAATGAAACAATGCTTATCACGTGTAAAAATATTGCTACTAGTAGATAAGTGCACCCTATGACTGCATGTACATACCTGTAGTCCTGTTGGTGATGGCCAGTGACCCCAACTCTATCTTGAAAATCTGAGGTTAAAATAGGGTTCCCAGTGAGCCTCTGACATTTACAAAAAAAGGTTTAATGTGGTGTTGTGCAAGATGTATAATATAAAGGTGTTTTCATTTTGCAATCTGCTATTTTCCATTGAAAAAAATTGAAAAGTATTTCTTCTGCTGATATGTTATGGTTTGACATTACTTTAAATATGATTCAAAAACTCATCATTTTATAATCACTTGAAAAAAGACACATGTTGGATCTTGTCAGTTTAAATAATTGCTTTTTGCTTAGTTTTTATAGTATATCTTGTTTGATCAACAACCATTCATGACCTACCTTATAAACTGCATGCTGTGAATAAATTATTTTACTTAAGTAAGGTGGTCTTCGATTGGTTGAAAATCAAGTGAAATTTGAGACATTTTTTCCTTTAAATTCACATACCGGTGCTGCAAAAATATTGAAAATAGTATATTCGCTTGGGTTTTATTTTCGCTGAAAGAAAGATTCAGTGAAAATAAAATCCATCAAAATACACCTTTTCCCTATATTTCACATTCAACGAATCAAAAATCAAAACACCTAAACAGTCTTGATTAATTAAAATTAATTCCTAGCTAAAATAAAGTATTTTACAGTATCTAGTTTATTCACCGTCTCTGCACAAATTACCTTACAGTTCTTAGTTGTCATGGTATCAGTGTACAATGGGTGCTGCCTTTATTAGATAACATTTGTAAAATGATTTGCCGGTCTTTAATCGTTCAGTGTATCGCTTTTTGTCTTCGTAGTTGGTGCCGTTACAGCCGGGCAATTACTTTGCGGTGGACTATTCAGTTTGGACTCCATGTCAAACTGGTGTGCTGCTATAGCCCTCTCGCATGCACTAAAGGACAACAACTCTCAGAAAGAACAATTACTGAGAGTACAGTTAGCAACCAGTCTTGGAACACCTCCTGTATCACTATTACAACAGTGTACGAACATATTAGCGCAGGTATATTATGAAATTATTACAAGAATGCACAAAGTATGCAAAAAGGCATTACGGCATTGCGTCCCCCTCCTGCCTGATTTCATACTTCGCGGTATTCTTATGATAATCCTATTATTATATATCTATTATTCTGCTTGCAAAGAAACAAAATGCCAACCAGAATTGTTTTGTGAAGTGTGAATGTTTGTGTTCGTTGACAGGTTTCTACGTCCGTCAGCACGCTATAATGCTTCAGCATCCAATGTGAAAAGAGAGTCGTGTAGTTTATTCCATATAAGGGAAAATTTGAATATGCAGATAGTTTTTGGAATGATTGCTGACACAGCTTTCTATGGATTACCAAATTCAATTGTTTTTTGGTGTCAAATGTACAGTATGAGGTTATTACGAGGATACCGAAAAGTATGCACAAAGACAGTACAGCTGGAGTATCGACTGACGTGCAGTGGAGGTTGACGCAACAGCATACTGTCTGAGCGCATACTTTGAGGTATCCTCGTAATAACCTTATCATTATACATCTTTTCCTTCCAAGGATACATCATTTTTTCTATGCAACAACCAATCACCATAGATTTTCTTTTAATGGACGTTTTATTTTTCTTATTTCAGCCCACCAGTAAACTACAGAGTAAAGTAGGCTTGTTGATATTACTGTGTTCATGGATGTCTTCGTGTCCTATCGCTGTGGCACATTTTCTCAACAATCCATCAAATGTGCCATATGTATCCTTTCACTACAAATGTGTATGTCTACAATTTATTGTAATATAGTGACGTCAACATAACATGTCTTGGCTTGAACTACCACAACTGGTTTAATATGAGGTTTGTACCATTTTTCCGGGTTGTTAACATCATTTTATGCACTAGCTTTTAAGGTTATAATTGACAAGTGAGGGTATTTGGTAGGCGATATAAGCACAGTGAAGGAAATATTTAATATTGAATTGCACATTACTCACAAGTGCGAAAACGGGGACTTATAATTCGGTCTCCGTCCGTGCGTCTGTCCAGAGTCATATTTCAGATTCCCTTGGACCAATTCCGTTCATTCTTTGCATGTGCTTAGTACTTTATATGGGACATATGCACATGCAGTGGTTTAGCGATTCGATTCAAAATGGCCGATTGGCAGCCATTTTTTTTTTTTAAATGTTGCATTTTGGACATGCTTTGTCAGTTGTCATTCAAACTTGGTACATAGATTATACATGTTAGGATACATGTCCATGACGATTTATTTTGCAATTGGATCAAAGATGGTCGACTGGCAGGCATCTTGTTTTTTTTTATATGCGGTATCTTGGATGTGCTCTGTCAGTTTTTATTCAAATTTGGCACATACATGTACTTTTTACATGTTAGGATGCATGTCCAAGACAACTTGTTTCAAAATCTGGTCAATGATGGCCAATTGACAGCCATCTGACGTTTTTGCCTTACTACTATATTTCCACAATTTATGTACCATTTTCATTCGTATTTGGCACATACATCATACATATCAGTGTGTTTCATAATCAGATCAAAGATGGCAGAATAACGGCTGTTTTTATTTTTGGCCATATTACTACTACACGGAACACGTGTTTTGATGTAAATAAACAATCTGTCATTTACGCCACTTGGAACTCAAGTTTCAAGGACACACTCGGGACAACCTCTCCACTTTAATATGACGAGCACAAAGGAACTTTCAAAAATTTTACGAGGACTATGTCATTTTACAATGACTTGTCTCTCAAAATTTGCAGTAATGTTAACATTTTAGACAATAATAATTAGTATTTCCCTGTTCTGATTTCCCCTTGCAATCATTTGAATCAGTACTCATGTGTGTAATCTC